ATCTGCCCCTAGCTCGGCCTGGTCAGTTCGGCATCCAGGTCCTCATCCAGTGAGAGTTCTCCACTTCGGCCTCTGGGTCATCGGCCACTTGGAAGCAGACCAAATGACAAGGTACTTAGCACAAAAAATTGATACTTCACCAAAAATTGATTCATCATTTGGCGTCGTCTGTGGGAAACAGTATGAAAAGCTAAGTTCTCATCCTTTGAAAGGCTAAGTCATCTTCTTTCAACTTTATTTCAACTCGGATAAAGCCTCATCAGTCCTCTTCACGAGGTACCCTCTACAAGATGAGCTCTTCGTGGCTTCCGCGGGAGTAGGCGACCAACAGACTGTAAGGACGCCCTTGCTGGTCGAGCCTTCCAAGGCTCCTGTGCGAGCTGGTGACCCAAAGCCAGTAGTGTTGCCCCCGTAGGTCGAAGCTCCTAGTAGCTTCTTGTAGGAGTGGGTGACCGACGTCACTAACGAGGCTGATGCAGCGCAGCCATAGCTCTAAGGTGCCGAGCTGATAAAAGACCTCGGCACCACATAAGACCCAGTCGCCTTTTCGGCATGGACAAAATCAAGGAGAGTGGACTACAAGTCGCTCACAGAGCCTAAGGGCTAAAGTGTCGAACTGGCAAAGACCTCGACACCACATAAGACCCAGTCGCCTCTTCGGCATGGGCAAAATCAAGGAGAGTGGACTGCGAGTCGCTCCCAGAGCCTAAGGAATTGAACCGACGCTTACGAGCTCATCGAATTATTCATTCCAGGCCAAAAAGAGCAATCTACTCCCTTCGCCAAGTTACTTTCAGCTCGGGAGTGGGGGGCAAATGATGAGGGCGGATTTGGCCCTCCAATGACATTGTGACACATGGCACCTCAGAACATCTAGGTGACACCCGGAACCACTTAGGCAACAAATTTCCAAGTTGGTAGTGTCCCACCTGGCGGTCTGGCCCAAGCGTGACCTGGCGGCCTAGCTTAGGCGCGACCTAGCGGCCTGCCCCAGGTGCCAACTTGGCAGCCTGGCACAGGCGCCGACTTGGCGACCTGCGAGACGTGCTCGCCGACAAATTCGGCATGCATATCCTAACACTCTCACAATCCTTGGAAGTTGGCCCACGTGCCGAACAATCCGGAGGGTGGTCAACATGCATGGCAGTTGCCTTAGAGAATCTCAGACCACTTAGGCGACTTCTCGAAAATCTCGGATGCGGTGCGTGAAGCCCACGCCAAACAATGCCTATATAAAGGCACCAACCCCAATGGCATAGGGGGGGCAAGTAAGCATATTCTAGCTCTCATACTTGGTGATTTTTAGCTCGCAGTCTACTATGAGAGTACTGACTTAAGCATCGGAGCGACCTAGCCGGGTTAGCCACCCTGGGTCCTCTGACATTGGTTCCTTGCAGGTCTCTAAAGAACTACGAAGATCAACAATCAATCCAGCTCGGCACTAGGCAGCTCGGCACCCTGGTCAGCTCAACACCTAATAGGCAGGTCGGCACTCTGGTCAGCTCGGCACCTAATAGGCAACTCGACACTCTGGTTAGCTCGTCACCTGACTTGCCTAGCTCGGCCCAGTCAGTTCGTCAACTAACCTGCCTAACTCGGCCCAGTCAGTTCGGCACCTAACCTGCCCAGCCCGGCTCAGTCAGCTCAGCTCCCAATCTGCCCCCAGCTCAGCCTGGTTAGTTCGGCATCCAGGTCCTCATCCAGCAAGAGTTCTCCACTTCGGCCTCTGACTCATCGGCCACTTGGAAGCAGACCAAATGACGAGGTACTTAGCACAAAAAAATTAATACTTCACCAAAAATTGATTCATCAGATACTATTCCCAACCATGAATGATTCCAACTATTAAGCCTCATATTTATATTTCCCCTCTCATCACATGCTTGATATTTGATGCATGATGAGAATGTATGATTACCCCATTCTCCCTTCTTTTCTGTTAATGACAAAGGGGATAAAAAAATTTGATTGATGAAAGAAAAGGGTAGTTTGAGGATTTAAAAAGTTTAGGGGGATAATTGTTACCGGTCCCAGAGTACAGGGGGTCTTTGTAATTTACCCAAAAATTAATTAAAAGAGAATCAAATAAATAAATAATCAATTCATAAATGGATTAAGAAGTAAATAGAAAGAATTGAAACCTAATAAATAAAAGACTAAAAAGTAATAATCAAAAACCAAAAATTAATAAACATATAAACATTTCATTCATTTGTCTTATCACATTTTTTCAAATATCAGTTATCTCTCTCTCTCACTCTCTCTACGTGTCGTTTAGAAATAACACCCATTTTAGCAATTTTTATAGGTTGTTATGGTTCGGACTAGGGGTGCAACTTTGGCATATTTGGGTTGGGATTCTATCAAAATTTGAATGGACACAACTCAAACCCAAAGCAATGGAAATTTTAACTCGGGGCAACCCTAGTTGCACCCTAAGTTTAGACCATTGGGCATATATATCCAATTACATTAGCAACCCAAACTTGTTAGATCTATGTATTATACAAAATAACTTTCTATAAAAATAATGATTTTATATGTTCCAAATGGTTTTCATTGCACTTACCAAAAAAATGGTTTTCATTGCAGGAAAGAAATATGGATCTATCATCGATCTATTAAATTCATTGATCTAAGAATGACTTATGCCAAGAAAGATTTAGGCTGCATTCGTTTTTTGGGAAGCTACTTATCCCATGTTCTTTTATTTCCAGGTAAATAATACAATGATTGTTTTAGCCATAAAAAAAAAGTAATTATTGAAAGGGATAATTTTGTTCCTTCCAAGTGTTGTCAACTTTTCCTTTGGGGAAAAGTTATTTACCCAATCACTTAACCACCATACCCAGGGAAAATAATTTTTTTGTAAACCCCACATAAATCTAAAAAATGAGTATCTCAGTCAATGGGAGCCAAAATCCTATTGACCGACTTTTCCCTCTCTCAAAATCTGTAAAATGAACAGACCCTTATGGTTTGTTTGGTTTCCGAGAAATAGTGGGATGAGAAAGGATGAGATGAGAAAGGAATAATTTATTTTCTCATCTTTTGGTCATGTGTTTGTTTGTTGAGACCTACTATCCTGTAGAATACGCTTCTAGCGTTTGGTTGATGAGACGAATGGATGAAGAAATACTATAGAACTGGAACAAATTCATGGGGCTAGGAACAGATTTGCAATAAATCCATGGGAAAAACTCTAGATTTAGAGCAAACACATGTCTCTGGCCAGATTTAGAGTGCCGAAGTTAAACCAGAGATCTGAAGACGAAGACAATAACTTGTCCTTACCTTCGCAAGAGAAACACATGTCATTAAGAAACGAAACCACCAGAAGCGTTACCTTCGCCGGAGAAGAAGAAGACAATAACCTGTCCTTGTTGTCTGAGATTTGAAGACAATAACTGCCGGAAACAAAGACATAACTTGTCCTTCCTGTCTTTGCTGTCTTCGCCAGAGAAGACAAAGACAATAACCGCCGAAAATATTACCTTCACCGGAGAAGATGAAGATAATAACCTGTCCTTGCTGTCTTCGTCGGAGAAGACGAAGATAATAACCGCCGAAAACGTTACCTTCGCCGGAGATGAAGGATACGGGTAATTGGAGTTCGGACCACTACAGATGTGGGAGATGAAAACAATCCACCCCTCGATAAAATTTCCTCACTACCATCGCACGACTTTCATTTCTCAGTGGGGTCGCACCTATTTGGTAAGACCCCACATCCCATATTTTGAGAATGATATTCTTATCCCATCGCAACATCTCTCCCATAGGACCATGTGAGTCCATTACAATTAGAGGGTGTTCTTTTTTCAGATTTATGTGGGGACTAGGGAAAGTTTATTTTCCTGGGTATCACTTACCCACTTACCCGGGTAAGTGATACCCATCTCCTAGGTGGGTAAATAACTTTCCCACCTAGGGGAAAAGTTGCCAACACTTGAATGGGACAAAAATGCCCTTTTTAATAATAGATTTTTATGGTTAAAATGGTCATTGCCTTATTTACATGAGAAATAAAAGAACATGGGTAAATGCACTTACCTGGGTAAGTGTTTCTCAGGAAAAACTTACCCAGGTAACTGTATTTACCTGGATAAATAACTTACCGAAAAGCGAACAGGGCCTTAGTGTTAGACACATCTATAGAATTTGCAAAAACTTCCCTATATATCCACATAATGTCCTCATTATTGCCATATCTTTTCATCATATTCATGCATATTCAAATTTCGAAGCATATATGTGTCCCTATTTGTATCTAAGCTTTTCAATAAAGTACACGATTTTGATATTTCGAACCTTGGTTTCTTTCTTTTTGTTTTCCTATCAGACCAAACAGCTTAAGAGTACAAGTGTATTATTGCATGTTCTCGATTAAAAGTTCATGAAAAATACCATCTCAATGGTTGAGTTTTTTTTTTTTTTTCGAGAAACTGATTTAATGTAAGTTTTTGATCCAGGCCTCCTAACTGGCAAACTGGATTTCCTACCCACTACTCTACCCACACTCTATCCTTCTTCAATTCCAGTCACAGGAGTCCGGATCTCCTGCACAAGAGAACTCTGCCCACGTTTATTGGAGTCACACATGGAGAACATCTCATCCTCTGCATAGTATAATGTAGGGGGAGATGTTCCCAATTCACGGGGGTAGTGTATTATGGATAGGCATGGGCAAAGTTATCATGGGCAGGTGATCCGGACTCGGCCAACACTAATATACTATGTGTTCGGAAAAGTGAGTAGGAAATCTGGGTTCACTCACTGGGCCATCAATTGACCACCCAGAATTCTACATCAAACATCCAAGAAATACTCATCGGTTTCACCGTTTCAGAAACTTTTCCGGCAGAAATTCAGCCCGATTCATGGGATTCTAATAATAATGATGCCAACATTTCAACTTTCTGTTACTCATTTTCTATCTGCCAAACATAGCCCGACTGATTTCAACATTTAGCTATGCCATTCCCATGGACACATTCGCATAAAAAAGTGACAATGATGAATCAGAGCCCAGGATCACCCCTGGAAAAAAGTGACAATAATGAAATCTGAACCTGAACCAATTACAAATGAATGGGGTAAAACTTTCTTCACGAATTGACAAATCAACCAATGGATGATCAGCATGAAACTCCGATTTTTATTTATTTCCGTTTTTCTTTTGCTATGGAACTCAAGATATCTCTCGTGATTCCTTCGGAGGTGCAGGTACGGTAAGCTTTCTTCTCAGAAGTCAGAACAGGGAACTGGCTGTCAGATCTGATTAGATGTATTTCAACCAAAATTACACACATATGGGAAAAGGTATGTGCAATATTTTGAAAATTTCCAAATTGACACCAGTGTGCTAAAAAGCCAAACAACTAAAACACATAAAAGAAGGCTCCTTTCTTCTTAGTACATTAATGTTGTCATTCTCATATACAGTTCTTGTCTGATACCATGGAAGAATCATGCATGGGCAATGATGGAAGGAGCCAAGTGAAAAAGCCAATATTAGTCTCTCCTTTCAATCTCTGGTTTGAGTATTCCGCCAACAGGTTCCAGAGATCTCCAACGGTCCATTCATGTGAAAGAATCCATTGACTCACCTGCCAATCCAAAATACACGGATCAAGAAAGAGAAGTAAAATAAAAATGCTACAAACTAGAGTTCACGGTCAACACAGGAGGAACATAGCAACGGACTTGATATCCATGTGGTCAGAAATGCAGTCAGCATTATGGCCCAGTTATTCTTCTCTGATAATGAAGTATCATAAACACAGCCTTTCCGATGTTGAACCACCAAATGCTTTGTTGGCATGGGGATAAAACATCAGAAAACTTAATTTGTTGTAGGTGTGAGTTGGGGGGCCGTTTGATAACAGCTGAAATGGATGAACTTAATGAATTATTGTTTTGTCTTTTAGTGAATTAGTTATTGGGAGGCTGTCACTGATCTGTTACAAGTTGAAGGGGCAGACCAAAAAGGACTTGAGTGAAAGCAATAAGAAATGATTTATGCACCCAAAATTTAACAATGGATATGACACTGAACAAAATGGAATGGCAAAACAGGATTCATGTAATAGGAACAGAGCATGAATGATGATGACGAGTTATTAGGAGGCTGTGAGCTCTCTAAGCTGAAACTGAAATTGTGTTAATTGCTATACTCTGTATGGAGCAGAGTGTTGGACACTTAAGAAACATGTCGAAAAAATGAGTGTGGCAGAAATGCATATGCTGAGATGGATGAGTGGAAAAACTAAAAAGGATAGGGTCAAAAATGAAAGTCATTCAAAGGAAACTAGAAGCCGTTCTAATAGGTGATAAAATGAGAGAAAGTAGACTTGGATGGTTTGGTCACATGCATAGGACCACCTACAGCACCTGTAAAAAAACAAGCAATCAGTTACAAGTTGAAGGGGTTGGAAGGGCTAGGGGCAGACCAAAAAGGACATGAGTCAAAGTGGTTAAGAAATTATTTATACACACATAATTTAACAATGGATATGACATTAAACAGACTGGAATGGCAAAAGAGGATTCATGTAGCCCACCCCACATAATTGGGACAAGGCTTAGATAATAACAATGACCACTAATAGACAAAGCAACAAGTCATTCAATACAGCCACTTTGACTTTTATCAAACAATCAAACCCCTCACACTCATTGCTTAATTATAAGTCAATCTTGTCTTTCTTTTTTTTTGGTAAATAAGCCAATCTTCAAAAGGAAATGATTTGGGCATATGCTGATAGAACTGTCAAATTATAAGAGAAGATTGCATCTCTTGAACTTATTTTCTAACTGTCAGCATCAGAAAGAATTAAAAATACCATTTTGTTGGGAAGTTTTGACATCAATAGAAACATGTACCTGATCTAGAGTCCTCAAGGCCTCTTCTCCAAATGTGCAGTGGGAAATGAAAGGTCGTAAAGCCTGGAAGAAACATTCTCAGAATGAACAACAAGATCAAAATACAATTTCTCAGATCTCTTTTTTTTTTTTTTTCCTTCCCATAAATACAACCCTAATCAAAATATAATCTCAGATCTTTTTCCCACCTAATTGGGTCAGCAGAATTAATCTTGTTTCCTCCATTCTGTACCATCCAACATCTATACCAAAGTGTATACCTTAACTGCACTACTACCCCCACTTTCTAGCCAATGCAATTTGCACCCTCTTAGGAGGATTTATTTCATTCCTCCTGCTATCTGACTGTATAAGGGCATAGACTTTCTATATCAGTGTTTAGAAAACTGAACCAGACCATCCAGTCAGACTCATTGAACCATAACCCAGGGCCCTAGCCAGTTCAATCACGCCCAAGAACTGAAATTGCTAAAAACACAGTGAAAACTGGCTGACCGGCTGGATTAACTGGAAAACCGATGAACTGATCCCCGTTTCATGAAACTGCCCAGGTCATTAAATAATTGAAATTTCAAAATGCATGTGACAAGAGTTGAACCCATGGCATCTTATTTTTATGTATTGCTTAATTACCATTAGTCTACTTCTTTATGTGTTAACTAATGACTCTCAATTGCATATATTGCTTTATTACACACTTATTTTAAAAATAAGAGACGTGAACCCTGGTCATTTTCTTTAAAAATTAAGGAACATGCAATCCATCCACCATATTTTAATATGATAAAATTTGTAAAATATATTATATAGTATTTATATGACCCATAGTATATATGTGTGTATGCCATGTCATCATGGTTCAACCTCCGATTTGACCTCAGTTGAACCTCAAACCCATGAGCCTCTTCCTTTTCCAGTTCTATAAACAATTTGTTTCTCTAAACATTGTTCTTTATAGTAGGCAGCTCCCTTCTTAATGTTGGACTCTTATTGGCTCATAAGTGGGGTTGAGACCAGTTAGAAATGCAAACTCTCTACTAGTGTTTTCAACCTGTTGTTGACCCAGTCGGTTGAACCATTCAAACCATCACCTAGTCATGATTTTGGGCCCAATTTTCCCAAAACCCAGCCTTTGGTAAAAAACTCCTGGGTGGTTGAACCATTGCCCCATTTAACTCAATCACCGGGTCACGATTTGCACAAGCAATGTATGTGCAAACTTCCAAAGGCCATAACTTCGTGCTCAGATGTTCGATTAGGGTGATCATTTTTTGATTGTGGGTAATTTTTCATGATCTATGTGACCCAAGGCCATGTTCCACTATCCCCCCCTCAAAACCCTTTTTTTTGGCCTCAAATTGCAATTTTTAACATTTTTTACAAATGAAAAACTAAAACCTTAATTGAAAATGTTTTGGAGCAGCTACAGTAGTCCGGACCAGTGAAGAAGGAAGAAGAAGATGAGGAAGAAGACAAGAGAAAGAGAGAACAGGAGGGTTTAGTCGAACTGATTAGTCTTTCATTCAGTCGACCCCCTTGTGTTTATTAGGTTCTAATTACACTTACAAAGACTAAACTGCCCTCACTTAAGTGTGGGGCAGAGTACTCTAATAAAACAGCCACATAAGCAAAGTACTTAACTGACATAAGATTACTAAATTACCCTTATTCAGCTCACTCTAACACTCCCCCTCAAGCTGGAGAATATATGTCATATAATCCCAGCTTGTTACATAGAT